GCGGGAGGGGTGAGGGGGTAGTGACCATGCCCATCCATTGTGCCTTCTGGCCTCCCTCAGCTACCAGTGTACTTGGCTCGCTCTCCCTCCCACTCCTCCCATAGACAATGAGGCTTTGTAGGTGCTTCAGTCTCCTGTCTAGGGTATGTCTTGGTCTCAACAAGTTCAGAACTCGAGGAGTTCAAAGAGGAACCACTTTTTTCCCCCATTAGTCTGGAAGCTTCCTGAGAGTTGGTTTCTACCACTCCCCCTCTGCCTAGGGTGCTCCCCAAGGGCACTGTCTGCTTCTTCTGCTGCTCCAGGCCTCAACTCCTCAGGGCAAAAAGAAGCTGGTGGTGGGAGGGCTGTGGTGGCTTCCCCATCTCCTCCCACCCCATCCACACTCGCAACGCCCCAGAGCTGCATGTGGTGACAAGCAGGAGCCTGCGCCCGGGCTACCAGATTCTTGTCTCGGAGCTGTGCGGAGTAGCTGGCAAGGCTCCCTTGGTACCTGGCAGCTTTGCTCTGGGCTCTAGCACGTCCCACTGGGAGAGGTTGGGCCTGATGCAATGTGGCCCCCAGAAGAGTGTACCCTTTCTCTTCATCCCAGGCAGAAGGGCCAGAAGCGGCAACGTCACTGAGGGCGTCCAGCTGCCTCACCAGGCCCCAGTGCTGTATTAGAACCTAGGGCTCTATGTTCCCTGGTCCCTGGCAGAGATGAGGATGATGGTGAAGCCAGTTAGACCACCCCTCCTGCCTGCCCAGTGGGCAAGCACAAATCAGAGGCCAGGGTACTGAGAGACAGCCCAGGGGTTCAGCAACGGTCGTTCTAGGAGGGAGCCTGTGTGTGTGTGGCGGTACTGTCTTACCAGTCTCCTGGGATGGGCTGAGCTGGGGCTACAGCTTTGACATCCTCCTCCCACCAAGTTTTGACCCAGAGACCCCCAACTGGCCTCGTGAAGGGGTCTCTTCCTGGGGAAGAGAGCCAGTGAAGGTCTCCCTGGCACTTCCCAATCCTCCACCCTAGCCATAGGATGGGATAGAGTTTGGGTTGGGGAGGCCACGGGGGTAATCAGTGGAAGTCAGTGTCCAGGACTCAGGATACCCTGACTCCAGGGCCCTCCTGATCTGAGCTATGGACAGAGCTCTTTCCTGGACACTTTCCTGCCATGACCTCAGGTCTGAGAGCTGGGTTAGGGGTCAGCGGGGTTGAGGTGCTGGGGGTAGGGAGCCAGCTCCCAGCAGATCTTCAAGATGCTGTCTCTGTTGCTCTGGATGACAGAAAGCTGAATAAGACTCCAGGACTGGGCGTGCCAGAGAGAGATGATGGGCTCTGCTCGTCCCCACCCTCCCATCCCCCGATCTCCCTCAGGCCTGCACGTCTGTTTCCCAGAACCCAGTAAGATGCATCCCAGCTTGATTCCAGCAGGGAATGAGTGAGCAGAGCAGGACATGCTCTGAGAGTGGCAGGGGTGAGACTGAAGGTGGGCTTGCCAGGGATGGGGCCAGGATGGGGCCAAGATGTGGTCAGAGCTGCAGCCTGGATCTTCCCACACCCTAGCAGACAGAAAGAACCAGACATCCCTGAGAGTCCTAGGAGATGGGGAGGCCCAGGTCACCTCAGAAAAGATGATGGCAGAGATGACCATGGGGGGTTCTCAGGCTTTTCTGAGATGAGTCTAATTGGAGCCTCCTATTAGGGAGCTCAGAACTGGAGTTGTGTGTGTGCGGGGGTGGGGGGGGGGCGTTCAGTGATGAAGACAGGAGGGGTAGAAGTGGGAGAGTACCTAGAATGGAGACGGGGAAGTCAAGATGGGGCAGAGAGACCAGGAGAGGCAATGAATTCCGCTCTGTCCATCTTATTTATTTATTTATTTATTTTAGAGGCAGGGTCTCACTCTGTTGCCCAGGCTGGAGTGCAGTAGCACAATCGTAGCTCACTGTAGCCTCGAACCCTTGGGTTCAGATGACCCTCCCACCTCAGCCTCCCAAGTAGCTGGAACTAGAGGCATGTGCCACAATGTTTGGCTAACTTTTTGATTTTTTGTAGAGATGAGGTCTCTCTATGTTGCGCAGGCTAGTCTCAACTCCTGGCCTCAAGCGATCTTCCCATGTAGACCTCTTGTGCTGGGATTACAGGTGTGAGCCTCCGTGCCCAGCCTCTGCCACTCCTTGAGTGACTATCCACTCTGCCCCAGCCTCTGCCCTAAGCTGGTGGAACCTAGCTCAAGGGTTATCTTTGGTTTCTTTTTTTTCTTTTTTTTTTTGAGTCAGAGTCTCACTCTGTTGCCCACGCTGGAGTGCAGTGGCATGTTCATGGCCATCACAGTCTCGACCTGCTGGGCTCAGGTGATCCTTCTGCCTTAGCCTTCCTAGTAGCTGGAACTACAGGCGTGCGCCACCATGCCTGGCTAATTTTTTGATTTATTGTAGAGACGAGGTCTTGCCAAGTTGTCCAGGCTGGTTTTGAACCCCTGAGCTCAGGCAATCCTCTCGCCTCAGCCTCCCAAAGTGCTGACATTACAGGCATGAGGCGCTCTGCCCAACTTATCTTCGATTTCTATTCAGGCTCCCATGAGCTTCCCCAAAGCAGCTGACTTCCATGGAGGTCATGTGGGTGGATGGTCCTGGATGGAAGCAGGAGAGACATTTTGGGCTCCTTGAGAAGCCTACTGGGTACTAGGGATTGATCACGTGGCCCCTCCTTCAGCCAACCTGGTCTCCCTCTCCCCAAGAAATTCTTTTGACTTTGTGCACAGCTGGTTTTTCCCTACACTCTGTTCAGAGTCCCACTGAGAGAAAAGACAGATGACCTAGAGGTTAACAGCCTCCCCCTCCCCTCCTGGGTCCTAGGGAGGCCGGCGGGCTAACAGGTTGCAGACTGCTGATGGATGACTCGGCGCCTGGACACTGCCCTTTCCCCCTCCTCCCTGTTTGTCCTCCTTCCAGACTCCCTCTCTTCCTTCCAGTTCCACCATCATTAATTCATAAACCCTGGCTTTCCTAGCAGGTGGACTCTGGTGTCAGGAGCTGGGAGGTAGGAGGGGAGAGAAGAAGCTGGCATCCTGCCTAGCAGGAACACCCCCTACCACAGGGGTGGTGAAGGGAGTGGGAAGGGCTCATAACCCTTCCCATCCTCCTCACCACCAGGCCTCGTAGGTGCAGGAAGCTGAGCAATGAGAAAGAGATCAGGGGCTTTCCTAAATGTGACTTTATTAACTTGTCCAGTGACGTTCTGGGGTCTCCCCTCTGCCCCCAGCTCTCCGGTCACCCATCCCAGCTGTCATAGAGGAGACCACCTTTCCCCCAAGAGACGGAACTGAGGAAACCTGTCAGTTCTTTTCTTAAAGGAGAGGGCAGAGAGACAGAGAGTCCTGGAAAAGGAAGCAGGGGGGGCCCGAGACAGGGGAGATCCGCTGCCAGAAGGCACAGGAAGCCTGTGGACCAGAGAGAGGCAAGAAGCAAGGGTGGTTCTCATTAGAGGGAGAGAGAGAACAGAGGAGGGGCCCACAGCGTCCTTTTAAACCTGGCCATACTCTAACTTTTTTCTTCTGAGTCGGGGTCTTACTCTGTTGCCCAGGCTGGAGTGCAGTGGCATGATCATGCTGATTACAGCTCACTGCAGCCTCGACTTCCTGGGCTCAGGCAATCCTTCCACCTCAGCCTCCCGAGTAACTGAGACTAAAGATGTGTACCACCCTGACCAGCTAATTTTTTGATTTATTGTAGAGATGAGGTCTCGCTACGTTGCCCAGACTGGTCTCGAACCCCTGGGCTCAAGCAATCTGCCCACCTGGGCCTCCCAAATTGCTGAAATTACAGGTGTGAGCCATAGCGCCCGGCCCACATCCCAACTTTCTGACCTCACTTCCAACTTGGTCCCACCATCTCCTTGTTCCACTTCACACCTCTCTTTCAGGCTAGAGTAGGTCTTGCCACTGCCCAGACATTCTAAGTTGTCATATATCTTCCTGGCCTTGCCCACAGCCTTTCATCTAGGGTCCCTCCCTCTTTTCTACCTCAAGTCCCCCTTATTCTTTTTATTTTTTTATTTTTTGAGTTGGAGTCTCACTCTGTCACCCAGATTGGAGTGCAGTGGCCACTCCCGGCCACCACAGTCTCGACCTGCTGGGCTCCGGCGATCCTTCTGCCTCAGCCTTCCAAGTAACTGGAACTACAGGCGCGCGCTACCATGCCCGGCTCATTTTTTATTTATTGTAGAGATGAGGTCTCGTCAAGTTGCCTAGGCGGGTCGCGAACCCCCTTATTCTTTAAGCATCAGTTCAAATGTCTCTATAGTGATGCCTTTGAGGTTGTAGGCCAGGAGCAGGCACCCTCCTCAATGCTCCCCCTGCCCCTGCACCTGCTGTCACTCTCCGTTCTGTCATCCCGACTGTGAAATTTGGGTTTTCTGAGTCTAGCACAATCCGGACACCAAAGATGGTGTTGGCTGAGACAGAGAAAGAGAGAGAGAGAGTTAATTTAGGGGAGATGAGGAGGAAGGGATGAGGCGGAAGGAGGCTGGGCTGGGGTGACACAGGAAGCAGAGGGGTCACAGAAAAGACGCTGGCATAGGGGTAGGTGTGTGGGAGGCAGCTGGAGGATTGTCCCTGGCTGTCAGACTACAGTGCTGAGGGTAGAGGAGTCCTCGGAGCGCACGGGCAGCACAGGGGCCCGCTTGATGGTGCGCCGGGTCTCATCCCGGTTCTGCCACACATAGTGGGCCAGATAAGCCACCACGAGCATCAGCCAGCCCCCCATGGTGACCAGCAGGGCCACGTCGGTGCTCCTCTGGGCCCTGCCCCACCTTGCTCCACACAATTCTTCCTCCCTCGCTAGAAGCAGGAACTCCTGACCCACGAGGTCTGGTCGGGCTCCCGGGCCGCATACTATGCCTGTCCCACTGCCCGGCACCAGCCTCACCTGCCTGATCACTTCCTGGAGGGCACAGTCACAGTGCCACGGGTTGGCAGACAGATTCACTTGGATCTGCAGCCCCACGAAAGCCTCCACGGGCACCGAGGCCAGCTGGTTGGCAGAGAGGTCGAGGTGGCGCAGAGTACCTGCCAGGCCCTGGAAAGCAGCCCCTGAGAGGTAGGCAAGGGCATTATGGGACAGATCCATCTCCTCCAGGACAGACAGGTGCTGGAAGGCACCAGCTGGCACCGATGACAGCTGGTTGGCATCCAGGTAGAGCTTACGGGTGTCGTTGGGGATGCCGGTGGGAACGGCACTCAGGCCGGCCTGGCTGCAGCGGAACGTCCGATTACCGGCTTCCTCTGCCACATAGCAGCCCTGGGGACGCACCCGGGGGCTGGGCACAGAGCTCCCTGTGCCTATCACCAGCAGGAGGGACAGGAAATGACCGGCTGGTAGGAGCATGGCCACAGATTGGCATAGTCCTGGAGTGGAGCAGAATCTGGGGAAGAAAAGACCACAGAAGGGGAGAGTGAGTGGCGAGAACTCCATCCCCCACTGCCAGCAGCTCTGTCTTCTGAGGTGCCGCTGGGGAGACTCTTTAGGCCTTTGAGGGTTTCCCTCAGGCCTGGGTGAACCTCTTACTTCTTGCAAGGGGGTCTCTCTTTAGATCTAGGGCTCCACAGTAGGGCCCTTTGGGTAAAGGGTCCTCTGACTTGAGACCGTTTTAGGGTCTATTGATTCTGGAAGGTTAATCTATGAGGTCTTTTGGCCCCAGGCCCTGTTGGCCATTCTGGGTCTGGGGGTTTCTAAGTTTCTGCCTCTGTCCATGTATTGATTTCCTTCGTTGGAATAAAGTCTCCTTCCCCTACCCACCTGGGTGGCTGCCAAGTGGGCCAGATAGGCACCAGCGAGTCTGGTCTGGTTGGTGTGATGGAGACAAGGGGACAGATCAGTAAGAGGACTTCATGGTGTCCAGCTAGGCTAGATAACCAGGTAGGAAGGGCCCCGGCCCTGCATTCTATGTCTGTTAACCCCTTTCCCAGGAGCATTAACCCCTGCCTACCCTGCTCGTCCTCCCTTATCCTCTCCCTCCTCCTCCCAGCCTCTCACCCCTGTCGTGGCAGAGCCTTCTCCTGAGCTGCTGCTCTCTCCCCGGAAGTAGCCTCCCTGCTGCCTGGTTCTGGAAATCCACTTCTTCCTCCAGAAGCCCTGTTTGCTGGGACCTGCTGGAAGCTGGGGGCGGGGCCCAAGAGTATTGGGTTTCCTGGCATGTGACTCCAGGCCCAGGTGTCAGATACCTGAGCCATGGCTCAGCTAGGCGATGCCAATAGAGGGCAGATCCTGGACCCTGATGAACTCTGCCATGGGGAGACAGGGCCCCATTCCGTTCCCTGACTCTGGCTCCCCTCCCAAGGTCTTGACGTTGCCATCTTCCATCATTCTCTTCCTGCTGGGGCTGAGACTCTGCCACCCTCTTCCTTGCTCAGAGCCTGGCGGGGCAGAAGGATCCCTGCTTGGCTCACTTGGGGAAGGGCAGAACTGGGTGGGCCCCATCTCACGTCCATGGCCTCCAGTAACCTCCATCTCCATCTCTCTCCCACTCTTCTCTGTCCTTCGACTATGCCTGGTGGCACCTTCTTCCATGGTGAGCAAATGTCCCTCAGCCTTTTCCTCAGAAAACATGTCTGGGGGGAGGGGGAGGTGGTGGTTGGGGGTGACTTGATCTCTGCACAGTGCCCAACCCTCCTGCCTGCCAGGGGGCACTGTGGTTCAATTTTGGTTTGTTTTCCTCCTGGTGGGTTGATGGCCCCTCTAAGAGTTGGAAACGTTCTTTAAAGCATCTGTGATATGGTCGCTTATGACTCTTCCTGCTGCTTTTATGTTCTGGATTGGAACTGACTCACGTTTTCTCAGTTTGCTGGAGCTCTGGGCTCCCAAGTTGGCACTTTGAACTCTCCCTGGTGCCTGGGAACCACAGAGGGCTTGGACGACCCAGGGCCTCTCCATCCCATCACTTGCAGCTCATGGCCATTCCAGGATCCCACCCTCTCCCAGTGCTCGCTGGGTAGTGGGAAGGAGGGATCTCCCAGAAGATGAGATTTTGGGCCAGTCCCTTCAACCCTGAGCCTCAGTGTCTGTCATTGCAAGTTTTGAGAATACTGCTGCAGGGCTGAGAGGACCCACCAGGCTTGAGTGAATGCGAAAATTCTCAGTGAAGTGCTGTGCCAAAGCTAGTTGTTATCATGGCCTTCTTCCATGACTTCAGTACCCAGGTAGGGTTTCTCCTCTCCATCTCCTCTCCTGTGCTTTGCAGAAGTGAACGTGACAAGGAGTCATGGATGTGAATATCCATGTGGACGATCCATCGAATTCCTTAGCTCATGGTGGCTTATACTCTGTAACTCCCTTGATGCTTGGTCCAGCCACATGGGCTGTATTGGCCACCCCATAGCCTCACCTCCCCTGGTGCCATCCTACCCACACCATCTCCAGTTGTCTGCTGGGATTTAGAGCCTTAATGACTGGGAGAGCTCAAGGGAAAGGACCACCAAGTTTAACACTCTTAGTCTGCAGACGGGTAGCCCCAAATATGATCAGAGTTACACAGTGAATCAGTGGCCCAACTAAGGCCACAGCCACTTGTTCCCCAATTTCATCCCTTCCCCTACTCGCCTCTACCCTTCTGCCGAGGCTGGTGACACCTTCTTTCATGGTGCACAAACCTCCTTCAGACTTTTTCTTGGAACACATCTTTCTCCCGGGGACCTCATCTGACTCCTCACAGTGCCCAACACTCTTGCCTACCAAGGAGTGCTGTGGTTCAATTGTGGTTTGTTCCTGTAGGAGCTGGAAGGGATCTGTGTGCACGTGTGTGTGTGTGTGTGTGTGTGTGTGTGTGTGTGTGTGTGTCAGGGTCTCACTCTGTCACCCAGGCTGGAGTGCGGTGGCACAATCACTGCTCACTGCAGCATGACCTCATGGGCTCAGGTGATCCTCCGCCTCAGCCTCCGCATAGTTCCAGTGCCTCCAGACTACAGGCACATACCACCATACCTAATTGTGGTCTTGCTATGTTGCCTAGCTGGTCTCAAACTCCTGGGCTCAAGTAATTCTTCCACCTCAGCCTCCCAAAGTCCTGGGATTACAGGTGTGAACCACCAGGCCCAGCTGCTTGGAAGGGATTCTCTGAGGGGGTTCTCGTTCAACCACTCTGCATTGTCTCCTGGCACCTTTCCTACCTCCATGCCACACTTAACAGTACCCTGCACTGCAGGGGTCCAGCCCCTGCCGGGTCGTGAGGTTTCCTGAAGGAGAGACAGATAGGTGAAAGACAAAAATATTATACTGGACACCTGCTTGCTGAACAGATGACAGTTTAATGTTGGTTAACTGAAAGCTTTTATACCATTCATAAAGGGGCAAGACAAAGAAAAATCCTTCACGTACATATCCTTTAAAAGTTACCACCATCTAGTGGTCTTAGCAACAAACAAGCCAAGAACCCTATAAACATTCAGACAATGAGTCTTACTCATAAAGCCAAAAATGATAGTATTAGTCCAAAGTCCCGAATTATAGTCCTTGAAATGTCTCAAGAAAGTTTCCAAGTGTACATTTCTTCATGTAGCAGTAGTGTTCCTTCTGGGGCTTCTATGACCTTCAGAGCTTTGTAATCGCCTCTCTTGTCCAGGTGTCTTCGTTACTTTTCTCTTATCCTGCAGTGTTTATTTCTAAAGAAAACTCAAAAGAAGCTTTTAGTAATGTTTCCCAGACCCCCAAGGTTGCTTTCTGTCTTTAGTTAATTTATCATAAAAGTGTCTGATTAGTATATTATGAGTTCAGTGAAAACCCACTCTACAAACGTTAACTTAGAATTTTAACTATTGAATTAAGTAAAAACCTTAACAATTAATCTTCATCCTAAATCTGTGAAAAGTGTTATAAACCACCTATATAACTCCTAGATAAGTGTTAGAACTTATAATGAATTCATAATGAACTTACTATAAACTTGTGCTTCTAAAAAAACCTTATGTCTAAACACTAAACTACATAATTCTAAATCAAATAAGGAATGAATATACTTGTACCATTTTTACTCAAGCAATATCTAGTAACTTATAATCAAGTGAAAGAAAGCATTTTTGATGTGCTTCAGAGTTTAACCATTGCATTTGTTAGAAAAGGCCAAACGGCATACTGGGAAATGGAAAAATAAACCATGACATTCTCAGGTTAGCTGTGAGTACTTCACATAAACATGCCATTTTCTTCTTCCATGACTGCACAGAATTCTTCGGCCGTACCAAACAGCAAAGGTGGAAGACAGAAGGGCCTCAGCTTCCTGGGCTCGCCCTGAGGCCCGGGGTCTTCAGCCCACCAGGACCCTGTCAATCAGGTGGGCCTCCAAGGCTGGCTCCCAACACTGCACCCTTGCATTTTGAGCCCTGATGATTCCCATGGTATTGTAGGGAATCTTGGAGCCCTCCTGCTAGGTCATAGAGGTAGAAGAGAACAGGAGAGTGGGATTTCACAAAGACTAGAGAGGAGAGACTTGCACTAAGGAGGATGAGCTCGTAGGCTATGTAGACATTTCTGAGAAAAAGCTTGCTGGATTTTGCAACCGGACCAGACAATTGTAGAGCTCAGTGCAAAAGGAAAATGTGGGGTCCCTTGTTCAAAAACTGTTAAGAATTTCAAGATGATGACTGTAGAATATAGAAACAAGTGCAGGGTGTGAGGTCTTGTGTGACTGCATAGGTCACATCCCCACGGGACTGGCCCTGTAGGTTACCTCTGAACAAGCAGTTTCAGAAGTGTGATGAGGACCAGAACCAGACAGTGAGATTCCAGATGGTATCATCTCTGAGGATGTGCTTGCCACTGACTCATCCTTATGATGCCAACAGAGGTCTTTGCAGACTCATATTTGTTCAAAAAATCAGATCAGATACTTTTCTATACTTGGGCAGGCGTTTTTCTGTGGGTTGCTTGTCAGGGCAGGATTGTGGCTGAATGTGGGACAGAAAGCTTGTGGAACCCTCCCCTCCCCCTGTTCTTTTCTCACACTGGGCAGGGGGTTTAGCTAAGGCACAAGAGTTGAGTCTGGCTGTTGATGGAGTCATTTTATACAAGAGCCACCTTGTGTTAACCTCCAACTGACCAATGAGTGGCCTACACTCAAACAGCAACCAATCAGAACTGCCATGTTTCAATGCTTGATTTGCATGGCAGGAACTCAAAAAAGGCCAACTCCCCTATGAAAACAACCTCTTGCAGGACAGGGTGGCTCATGCCTGTAATCCCAGCACTGTGGGAGGCTATGGCAGGAGTATTGCTTGAGCTCAGGAATTTGAGACCAGCTTAGTCAACATAGCGAGACCTCGTCTCTACAAAAATAAAAAATTACTTGGGTGCGGTGGCATACACCTGTAGTCCCAGCTACTCTGAAGGCTGAGGCAGAAAGGATCGCCTGAGCCCAGAAGCTCGAGGCTGCTGTGAGCCATAATTGTGCCACTGCACTCCAGCCTGGGCAACAGAGTGAGACTCCCAACTCAAAAAAAAATTGAAAAATTAAAATAATAAAATAAATAAAAACAACCTCAAACTGTTGGCTCTGAGCAAACGGCTTACTTATCACTGCCTTGCTGGCTGCACTCAATACTCCTGTCCTTTTCTATTCTGATCTGACTTGGGTGAATTCTTTCACCATCAGTGGCTCCGGCTGACTGGTTGCTATCCATGACACTTACCTTCTTCTCAGACTACAGAAGGGTCCAGGAGAGTGGGACTGGGCTGTCCAGCACAGCAACTGTAGGAAAAACAGGAGCCCAACTGGAGCAGTGGATGTGGCTAGGGAAGGGAGGCTGAGTGCCAGACTCAGGGACAGGGGAGACCGGGAGGAAGCAGAGTTAGGACAGTACACATCGCAGGCTGAGGACTGACAGAGCTGGATCAGATATTCTTTTCTGCCATTCATTCATTCATTCACTCATTCATTCAAGGAGGATTTCCTGTGAGCCTTATGTTCCCAGTACTGTGCTAACTGAAGGGGCCACGAATACTATCCTTAAGGTGCTCAGCCTGTAAGTGTGGTTCTCAAAACTCAGCCTACACATTAGAATCCCTGAGGGAAGCTGGGCGTGGTGGCTCACGCCAGTAATCCTGGAAGGTGGAGGCCAGAGGATTGCCTGAGTCCAGGAGTTCGAGACCATCCTGGGCAACCTGGTGAAACCTCATTTTTAAAATAAATAAGTAAATAAATAAATAAATAAATAAGTAAGTAAGCCGGGCATGGTGGTGTGTGCTTGTGGTTCCAGCTACTTGGAAGATTGAGGTGGAAGGATCAACTAAGCCCAGCAGGCTAAGACTGCGGTGGCCGTGATTGTACCATTGTACTCCAGCCTGGGCAACAGAGTAAGACTCCTATTCGAAGAAGAAGAAGAAGAAGAATCCCTGAGGAGTTTTATTTATTTTTTATTTTTTCTTATTCCACACCCTCTCAGTTTCTGAATGGGAAGCTTTTAAAAATTAATTGTGCCAGGATTTCGTCTGGTGCAACTAAATAGAAATCTCTGTGTGTGGGGTCTAGGCACTGGTCTCTTTCCAAAGCTCCTAAGTATTTCTTTTCTTTTTTTTTTTTTTTTTTTTTTTGAGTTGGAGTCTTACTCAGTCGCCCAGGCTGGAGTACAGTGGCACACTCACGGTCACCCCAGTGTCAACTTGCAGGCCTCTGGCGATCCTTCTGCCTCAGCCTTCCAAGTAGTCAGAACTATAGGTGTGTGCTACCATGCCCAGCTAATTTTTTATTTATTGTAGAGGCGAGGTCTCGTCAAGTTGTCCAGGCTGGTCTCGAACCCATGGGCTCAGGCAATCCACTTGCTTCAGCCTCCCAAAGTGCTAGGATTACAGATTGAGCCACCAAGCCTGGCTAGCTCCCAGGTATTTCTAATGTGCAGCCTGAGTTGAGAACTGTCAGTCTAGAGGGAGACCTAGACTTGTTGACACGTCTCCGCAATGGTTTAATGAGATGTCTGCTATCACTGACATGTGTACAGGGAGCTTTGTAACACAGAGAGAGAACATGGAAGAGCCCGTGGGTGCCTACTTGGTCTCCATCCCTCACCTCCTTCTGTGATCACACACATGGATTTGGGAGTCGCAATGATTGAACCTCGTCGGTCTTCTCAGCCCATCAGAAATCCTGCAGCCCACTTTTCCAATTTCCTCTGCACTGAGGGTGCCCCGGTTCAGATCAATGACATCTAATGGAAGGGGATTCTCGGACAGTCTTGGTTTGCTGGTAAGAGAGGATGGGGCTGGGCCTCACTCTTCTCCCTACCACTTTCTCCCTACTTTGAATATGAAGGGGTCAACTCCCGCCATCTTGTGACTATGAGGCAGCAGAGCAGAAAGGAAAGGTCAGGAGTATCATGAGATGTTGGCCTGGAGATCACTGAGCTACGCTACCACCAGCCGCCACCTCCAGACTCCTCAGGTGAGAAAGAAATGCCCCTGTTTCAGTGCTTCTTGGCTGCACACTGGGATGCTGCCTGTATCCCAGTGTGCAGCCAAGAAGCACTGAAATTAACCTGGCATGTGTCCGATGATGAGTATTTAAAAAAACTCATTAGGTGATTCTAATGGCAACCTAGGTTAAGAATCATTACTTTATTTGGGTTTTCTGTTGCCCTCAGCTGAAAGCATTCATAACGGGTACACTAACTTTTCCAGGGTAACAGGGAAGGCTTCACCAAGGACTGACATTTGAGTTCAGCCTTCAAGGTCGGGTTTGTCAGATGGAGAAGCAGAGTGTATGCAAGAGGGCAAGACAAGGTTTGTTTTCTAGACCACAGAGTTGATGGAGGGATGGTGGCAAAAGCTATTGCTAAAGACATGAAAAGGGACCAGGTCCTTGTGGGCTTGCATACCATATAAGAACTGGGACTTAGCTGGGCATGATGGCTCATGCCTATAATCCCAACACTTCAGGAGGTGGAGGCAAGAGGATTGCCTAAGCCCATGGGTTCGAAACCATGGTGGGTAACTTGATGAGACCTTGTCTCTACAATAAATAAAAATATTAGCCGGGCATGGTGATACATGCCTGTAGTTCCAACTACTTGCAAGGCTGAGGTGGAAGGATCTCCTGAACCCAGCAGGTTGACGCTGCAGTGGCCGTGAGCGTGACACTGCCCTCCAGCCTGGGTGACAGAGTAAGACTCTGACTTAAAGAAAAAAAAAAAGAATAACAAAAGAATTAGGACTTGTCTTAGTGGGGAATGGATTGAAGTTTCTCTCCCTTTTTTTTTTTTGGAGACATTGAGGGCAGTGTCCTAATCACAGCTTACTGCAGCCTTGAACTCCTGGCTCAAGCAATCCTCCCACCCCAGCCTCCCATGCAGCTGGGATTACAGGCATGTGTCACCATGCCCAGCTGAGTTTTGAAATTAGATTTGACCTGTGGATCACTCTGTTGGTTGTGTGGAGGATGTTTTGGTGGAAGGAAACCAGTCGTAGCAACAGTCCAGGTGTGAGATGATAAAGAGTTGCCGGGTTCGGTGGCTCAGCCTGTAATCCCGCGCCTTTGGAAGGCTGAGGTGAGTGGATTGCCTGAGCCTGCAGGTTTGAGACCCACCTGGACAACTTGGGGAGACCTCATCTCTACAATAAATAAAAAATTAGCCGGGCATGGTAGTGTGCACCTGTAGTTCCAGCTACTTGGAAGGCTGAGGTGGAAGGATCGCCAGATCCCAGCAGGTCGAGGCTGCGGTGGCCGGGAGCGGTCACTGCACTCCAGTCTGGGCGACAGAGTGAGACTCCAACTTAAAAAAAAAAAAAAAAAAAAAGAGCTGGGTGGACACACAGCATGGGACTGGAGGAGCCGCGAATGGGGAATCCGAGGCTTTGCTGTGGTCTGTGGAGTGTCTGGGAATACCTCTGGGCCAGGCCCGAGACCAGCAGAAGTTTGTGCCCCTGGCGTCGCCTTCCCAAACCCCCCTCGGGACTTCAGTTCTCTGGACTGTGCAGTCTTTGAGACCTCTTCTAACCTGATCCTCCGCGTGCCAGTGATGAGGGGAGGGGAGAGGTTGAGGCAGAGCAGGACCCTGGCTCCCAAGTTCAGGGCCCAGGACTGTAAGCCTCTGAGGCCCCACCCCCGGCTGGCTGAGTCACAGCTCTTCCCTCCAAGGGTGCTAGAACTGTGTGTCCCAAAGATGTGGCCTTAGGGAAAAGGAGTGCAGCAGGCCTCAGGCCTTCCCTCCCTGATGCTGGAGGCCCCAGGGCCAGCCTAGATGCGGGATAATGGGCAGAAAAGGAGGAGGGTTAGCTACTCTATCAACAAGGGACCCATCTAGTGCCCAGCTACTGGGCAGTTTCGGAAAGAGGGCAGCCAAAGTCTCTGCAATTCTTGTGCCTTGTGGAAAAGGGCAAAGGGTGGAGACATCTCACCTTCCATCCCTGGATGGACTCACTTGCCCAACACATATCGGAGCACCTACTGTGTACTGGAGCCTCTTAGGCGTTGGGATGCAGAGAGAATTGAATATCCCTGGACAGTGGGGGAAGACTGGTATATGCACAAATATGGCCATCTGCTAGCCTAGGTTTGGCTCTAGCTGAGGT